GAAGACCTTGACATCTTGTGGATTGTGGGCCATCAACGGTGTGTCCGTAGATGGCTGATGAGACCGATGTTAGCACGGAATGTTCTGCCACATACTGAACAGAGAAATGTGGACACTGTTGCTTCAGCATTTGCAGCTCTGGCTTTACGGAGTGCTCGCTTCTCTTGTGCCAAGATTGTCCTCCTGTGTTCATATGTCTTGGCACCCCTGGTAAACAAGGGTACGCCATGTCGGTCGATCATGCGCCAAAAATTCCCAAGAGATGGTGTCGATATCCAGGGACTTGAGAGATGCTTTCAGCGTGTCTTTGTATCGCTTCTTTTGTCCCCCGTGCGATCGCTTTCCTTGAGACAGCTCACTATAGAAGAGCTGTTTAGGTATGCGATGGTCTGGCATCCTTACAACGTGGCCTGCCCAGCGCATCTGGGCTTTCATCAACAGAGTGTAAACTGATGATAGGCCTGCTCTGGAGAGGACATCTGTATCTGGTGTCTTATCCTGCCACCGGATCTGAACATGTGCTGTCACAGTGAGACTAAAGAAACTGTATGGTATCATTCCTGTGCACAAAATAATTGTGTTGTTCAGAACATGGAACAACCAATCCTACTTAAAATATTTTGTCAGGTTATTTTGAGTAGTTCATGTTGCAGTTGAACAAAACTGAAAATATTTCCAATGTCCCTCCACAGAGAACAATGGAAATTGAAAATAAACTACGTGCTTTCTAATCAAATGGCTGCAAATATAATGGAGTGTTAACCTATGCTGAGTGCTACTTACTTCCAATCTATGGAAAATTACTTTAAAAAATCCTTTAATATTAAAGATACAGTTTCCCAGCAATTTCCCGTTGATAGTTTCTATCCAGTTTCCCACTGTCTGAATATTCCTCCAAACTCAGGAATTAACAATGTATTATTATTTCATGTTTGTCACGCTCAGTAAGTCTTCTTCCAAATCTCACCCAAAAGCTCTCTTTAGCATTCTACTTTAATATTCTTGAATTCTAAAAATTAGAATAGTGAGAAATTCCCATCTGCAGATCTATGATTTCTTTTCTTAAGTTACAAACATAATTTAAGTATTCTGTTTTTATCTTCTGCTTTTAGAAAATAACTAAATAATAAATTGAAATATAAAGTCTGAACTGAATTAAGTTTTTTCAATCTGGGAGTAAATAGTTGAGCCATTTATTCATAATCTCTCCCAATTTTTTTCCATCCTGTTTTATACTACCTTCAGATTGCCACCAAGGAGCCACTGAATCCTATTAAGCAAGATGTAAAGAAAGGCAAACTGCGATACGTAACAAACATTTTCCCCCATAAAGGCTATATTTGGAACTATGGGGCCCTCCCACAGGTAATTTTTTGGGATTTCTTCATTTATGAAATTTATAATTTTACCCTGCTTTTTTCTCAGTTACATCCCTTCATATATCCTATGTATTTTAAAAGTGCAGAGTAGAGTGAGGAAAACATAGACACTGGTTCGGTAATAAATTTGGAATGAGGGAATGTTCTGCAAGCCGCATTCAAAATAGAATTGATTTCAAAATAGAACATATACCTCAATGTGATGCTCTCTCATTATCAAAATGGGAAAAAGAGAACTTTGAGTATAAACTGGGTTTAGCCCAAAGTATTTTTTTTCAAGATGCATTTGTAGTATAGACCAATTTTTTGGCAGCTAAGAAATAATGTAAAAAAAGGGAAATGGTGTCTTCTTTAGCCTTCTTGAGCTTCATTCCTAATTTTATTATTAGAATGACATAATAATTTGAGATTTACTTGGTATTTGCATCTGAAAGTTGATGGATCCCCTGTGTTGGCCCACTGCAGATGGAGGCTGCAGTTCTTGGAATTCTCAAATAGTGGAGAATTCTGGGAATTGTAGTCCTGATTTATCCAGAGGATGCCAAGATTTGAGAAGACTATTCCATCTTCCAACTATACCAGGAACATAGAATCTTTGGACCTCTGAATGCTTTTGAAATACAACTTATAATAGCATAGAGTTGTGGGGATCCATAGAGGACATCAAGTCCAATCTTCTGGACAGTGCAGGAAACCAGATTAAAACATTCCTGATAGACAGGTGTCTTGTCTCTGCTTGAGAGAGGGGAGCTCAGCATTTCACTTGGTAACCTTTTGCTGTTAGAAAATTTTGCTAATATTTAACTGGAATCTGCCTTCCTATAACTTAAATCTGTTATCCATTTTTCTATACTTTGGCCTCAATTCTCTGAGTGACAGCCTTTCAGATGTTAATTCAAGTATTCCTCTCCTTGTCTTTTCTTAAATATAGACATACCTAGTTCTATTAGACTCTTTTCACAAGACTTAGTGACAGCTTCCCTGATCATTCTTATTGCTATTTTCTGAATTTGTTTCAGTTTTTTTGAGTGCAGTTCAAATACAATTTTGAAGCCAATTCCCTAACTGTTACCGTATCCTATTCAGCTCATACTTAAGTAGATCTTAACTCAGAATACCATGGGTTATTTTGTCTCATGCTTAGTTGAAGTGAAAACATATTATATCCCAGAATTCCACCAACTGTTAAGTAAATTACCTGATCAAAAAGTGACATGAAATTTGTTTGAAAGTTTAATTCTTGACAAATCTGAAAACTGACTTGGGAAACCATTTGGTAACCATTTTGAAAATGTTAACAGATCAATCATTTTACAATCTGCTCTTACTTTTCCAAATATTGATGTCAGAATGATGGTCTATATCAGCTTTTAAAGACAGGAAAACATTTGTCTTTCTCCAGTAATCTGGTCTTTAATACTTTTGTAGATTTGTTAAAGTTAATATAGATAGAGGTTTGCTCAGACCATTGGCCATGAAAATGTGTACTTATTCAGTCACAGTAGATATTCCCTGATTCTATTTCTGTGCTCAAGCTGAAATTCTCTTCTTTAAACTAGCTTTAAACAAATGTCTGCTGGAACATCTATTATTTTTTTTAAAAAAAAATATGACTGAGGTAAAATAACAAATGGATACTGTAGTTCCTAGTTGTTTGTTATACTTTCATCATATAAAAAACTTGACCCTCCCCTCTCAGAATGTCAATAATTTGTACAAATGAACCAAGCAATAATAACCAACTTTAAATGGTACAATTTATTTCTTTTTTTCCTCCCCTACAGACTTGGGAAGATCCAAGGCATACAGATGGTAATACAGGATGCTGTGGTGACAATGATCCTATTGATGTTTGTGAAATTGGTGCCCAGGTCTGTCTGAATTACAGAAGCATACTTTAGTTGTGCATACTTTTCTAACATAGCAATGAAGTTTACTGATTATCTGGTTCCACAACTGGACACAAGTCTCCAGACAATTAATTCTTTCTTTTTCGATGAAACTTGACAGGAGATGATTTTGACAACCTGGCTAGATTAGAATATTACAGACTAGATTAGAATAAAGCTTCAAACTGATTGATTGCTCACCTGATTGCCCACTACAGTGCAAAAAGTAAACAACTTCTCTGTATTCCTTAGGCAGGGGTCCCTAACCTGTGGGCCATGGCCCACTACTGGCCCATGGCTTACTGGCCATTGGGCTGCCTGAATGGCTGGCTGATGTGCATGTGTTTGCGCATATATGCACAGGTGCATTGTGGGGCCTGTGCACATAGGCCCCACAGGCGCGAGTGGGGCATTTACAGCCCCACACCCACAAACGTTCCCATGAGCATTGCAATTGTTCGCGGCCCCACTCTCACCAGCGTCATCACAGGTGTTCGCAGACCCCTCTTGCATGAGTGTTGCAGATGTTTGCGGCCCTACTCATGTGGGTGTCTTTGTGAGCATCGCCAGTGATCACAGCCCTACTTGCATGAGCATCGTTGCAGGCGTTCATGGCCCCACTCACATGAGTGTCGTTGCAAGCATCATGGGCGTTCTTTGCCCCACTCGTGGAAGCAGTACTGCGAGATCGTGGGTGTTCGCTGTCCCATCCACACAAGCATTGCCATAAGCATTGTAGGCATTCGCAGTCCCACTCGCACAAACGCTCATGGCCCCACTTGCACAAGCAATGGATGTTCATGCACGCTCTTGTGGGCACAAGCATTCACCCTCCCACAAAACCATCCATTATTTCCTCCCCCCCCCCCGCTCCGGGCTGCCAACCCTCAAAGGTTGGGGATCTCTGCCTTAGGGTTTAAATGCCTGGTTGTTTAGTGGATCATTTGGTAGCTTGAAGCAGTTATCTTTACGTAATGATCTTCTCTAGACTCAGAGTGGTGGCGTCAGCCTTTATTCCTTTAAAATCAGTTGAAATATAAAATCTTGGATACAGTGTTATTGCAGAAAAATGCCACCTGTAATGAAAATATGCTGTGTAGCCTTGATATCAGAATGCTCTCCTTCAAGGTGTTAACCAACTATGTTTTCCTCCAGAATTTTCTTCCTCTCTCCTTTTGTTCCCCATCCTATCTCAACCTATTTTCAGTTCTGTTCCAGTTGATTTTGAACTTAAATAGCGTCTTGGAAACAAATTGTGCAGCATCTTCTATGTTTTAAGGTTCGGACACTTGGTGAAGTTGTTAAGGTGAAGGCCCTTGGAATTATCGGTCTTATCGATGAAGGAGAAACTGACTGGAAGGTCATAGCTATCAGTGTAGATGACCCACATGCTGAGAAAATCCATGGTAAGAATTGTTTAATAGTATTGGATAATAATAATCAATTCTGTCTGGTCTACATACCCAATCTCTTTAAACTGTCATGGCTTTGTCTTTTAGGGACTTTTGGATATGGCATTCTGAAGGGTGCCCAAAATTTCTACTAAGTGACTTCAGCCTCTCACTTTCACTTTTAACTGCTTGATCCTTTTGGGTGATTTTTTCTGTTTTTTTCTCTAACCATTAAACTCCTGGGAACTCCTATCTCTCTTGCTTGTATCCTAGGCAACATCTCCCTTTTACCTCAAAGTCATTCCTACATTCCATTAAGTAGGGCCCATGGACATCCCTTCCCCATGCTGTCCACCATACTTGCAGCTCCAAATGACAATTTGACGTTTTACATTTTTAAAAATACATTTCAGTTTGAAAAATAAACTTTTAGTGACCCTATAGGGAAGAGACATCCTTTGGAAGGATTGAGGGCTGCACTTGGACTTTAGGTTTAAATAAATAATTATATGCCAAAAAGTAGGATAAGGAAGTGGGTATGATGACAATCCCTAATTTTAACTTAAAATAATGATTACTTGTGACTTTAATTATTTAATCCCCATCATACATACACTTGGTTTGAAGGCAACTTTTACAGAGGTTCTTGGGAGATTGAAAACAAAGCTTTCAGTCTGTGTATACCGACCTGGGTTTTCTAAGTGATTTCTTGAATTATACAGAATGCATAGTGCAGATTAGTATTCATTCCTTTGGTTGGACAGATGCTTTACTATCCTAAATCAGTATCATTAATTGGATTAGCATACTAAAGTATACTTAAGTTCAGTGTGTTTATGAACTATTGTGATTTATTGTTTAATACACTTTATGTAACAGACCATGGTTAGCTCAGGCCATTCCACAGACCATGGCTGAACAAAAGATTGTTGCATTCTGTGTTTCAGAATAGATGATTTTTAGATGTTTTAGTTGCTCTGGAGCTTCTTAAATCCCTTGCCATGGAGACGAAAATAAGTAGCTGTGTCTCCAGACACAATTTTGGAACACTGAGCTTTTTAAGAAAGTATTTGCATTACAAGGTGCTTAATCGGTAGCCAGTTTATCAAATTTTCCAGTCTGCTTCATCCAATCTATCTTCACTTTGTATAAGAGTCTCTGTGATTGTTTTTATAATCCAGTGTAAGCTAAATGCATTCAACAATTACTAAATTATATTCAAAATGTTTGCATGGTATTTCTGTATGTAACATTCTGTGTAAGTAGAGGGTTAAATCTGTAACCCATGCATTTGGGTTTTCATGAGCTCATTAATTGAAATATTTATGACAGATTTATTGCTGTATTGTAATCTTGTACATGTATATTTAGAATGGTGGATTTGGAAGAAGTTGTTATTTAACTTTGATTTTTATGCATTTTTATCCTATTGCAGATATTGATGATGTCAGGAAGTTTTTCCCAGGTTACCTTGAAGCTTCAGTTAACTGGTTCAAACTATATAAAGTCCCAGATGGGAAGCCAGAAAATAAGTTTGCTTTTAATGGGACATATAAAGACAAGGTGAAAAATTGGTTACTTTTAAGATGATAAACTTACTTTATGAACAGTGTATTCTCTGGATAAATGCTCTGTAAGATCCTACAGAATCCCAATCAAGAATATGTAAGGAAGCCAATACTGCAAAACATTTCATAGTAATTCATAATATTTTTCTTCACTTCAAAATATCATGGAGGTACAAATAAAGCCATTCTTTTGTCAAAACATCTCACATGTTTTTATCTATATATTTTTTGAATCTCTGATAGCCCTATGAACTTAGTCTTCTGTAAAGGATCCTCAACTTTATCACAACAGGGATGGGCAACTTGTAATCTAAATGCAGTCCTTGTAGCATCTGAGGTCTCACTGAGGGATATTCAGTGACAAAATGTTCCAATTTCAATAGTGCTATTTTTTTACTAAACCCTCCCCCCATAAGATTGGAATACAAGACTGTCAGAAGTTAAAAAAAAATATTCTCTTCTTAAAAGATTCTGAAAAGATTTTTTTTAAAGGCCAAAGAAACATCTTCAAATATTGGCTGGTTGGGAGATAGAGTTTTACCTTCTGAATTACAAAGAATATTCTGGAAATAATAAGGAATAACATATCTCCCCCAGTTGCAGTAATTTTCTAAGACTGCCTGAGGAAAATCTGGTGATTTTACAGTGCAATTTCAATACAGGTGAGTTTAGGGATAGGGAGAACTTTGGTTTTCAGGTAGTTCCTAGAGACCAGAGTTCTCACTACTCACAAACTCACTTGGTAAGATATCTTCTGTGACTTTCCTTGAAAGTTTGAGCTTTATGATCACCTGTGTTCCTGACCGTGGTGGTGCAGTGGTTAGAATGCTGTATTGCAGGCTAACTCTGCCCATAGCCAGGAGTTCAATCCTGACCAGCTCAAGGTTGACTCAGGCTTCCATCCTTCCAAGGTTGGTAAAATGAGGACTCAGATTGTTGGGGATAATATGCTGACATTTATAAACCACTCAGAGAGGGTTATAAAACACTATAGAGCAATCTAAATGCTATTGCTATTTCCAAATATCTCTTATCCTGAATTGTTTGGCTCCAGCCATGGTCTCCTGGCTCTTCTATGACCTTATTTAGATGTTTTCCAAGATATCAGCCAAAGAACTGATATTTTTAACTTCAGCATATGCTGAACAGCCTTGCTTTAAACATAGCCAAAATAAGAATATAATTCATGAGTTTTTGTTTCAGCAGTATTTCTAAAAGCAGTTTTTCAAGTCTGGAAAAGTTAAGCAGAGTTACTTTTTTCTCAGATAAAGTGTAGCCCCCACTGATTTACATAAACCATCTTAATATGTTCTCTTGTTATGGAATGCACACTGTCATTATTGACTTTCTATTATTGACTTTCTATTTCATGATGGTGGGAGATGTCATTTACTGATATTTGAAAGCTTTGAAGTTTGGAGGTCAAGTAGGTATTAACATTAAAAAAACAGGAATGATTAAACAAAATTTCAAGTTTCAGATTTAATCTTTATCTTGAGTGTTCTTAAAGTTCTCTTTTTTTACATTTTTGACAATTATAATACCTAGCCAATGTTTTCTTTTGTTTTTTCTCCTCTCAATGTTGTTTTAAATAGGCATTTGCTTTGGAAATCATCAAGTCCACCCATGAATGCTGGAAAGCTTTGGTTCACAAAAAGTCTGATGGAGGAGCCATAAAATGGTATGCATCTATCATTGTTTGGTCAAAATCCAATTTAATTAAGGTAATGTCATTCCTAAGTGATGCGGTCATAAAGCATAATGTTACATCATCACTCCAATGTACAATGGCAGTTGTGACAGTTATGGTTGCCTTCATTAAACAAATCCTGTGCAGTAAAGCCACGGCATTATATGATCACCATTTGTGATCTTCTGTTGTTTTCCTCATTGACTTTGCTTCTCTGCAGTGATGGTTGCAAATAGCAATCACATGGCCATAGGACACTATGACTATCTGTCACGTGAAGTGTTAATACCACTTTACAATGCCTTGGTAAGGTCACACTTGGAATACTGCATCCAGTTTTGGTCACCGCGATGTAAAAAAGATGTTGAGACTTTAGAAAGAGTACAGAGAAGAGCAACAAAGATGATTAGGGGACTGGAGGCTAAAGCATATAAGGAACGGCTGCTGGAATTGGGTATGTCTAGTTTAATGAAGAGAAGGACGAGGGGGGACATGATAGCAGTGTTCCAATA